TTTAGGGTTGGGGGTTTAGGGCTTTAGGGTTTAAGGGTTTAGGGTAGTTTAGGGGTTTAGGGTTTAGCACAGCCCTAGGGGTCCAAGTCCCTAAGAATCATATACTCTCCCAAATTTCTAACCTACACAACTACTATCCGAAACCTAAGTACCTAATTATAGAGTCCTTTGGACCCTTGGGGCAGGGTTTGTAGGGTTTTCAGTTTAAGGCTTTTGGCCTTCTGAGCTTTAGAGTCTAGGATTTTCCATGCTTGCCCAGAGATCTCAATACCCCTTACATTAAGGAACATACCTTTAAGGCCCTAAAACTTCAAGGTATCTTCCCTGATTAATTAATTATAACGGATATTGGGATCTCTGAGTGGCTACCTCATTTCTCAGGACAGCTCTGCCAACACGCGTCTAGCACAGGTGCATTCAGATTTTTTGCCTTCTGGTGCTGAACCTGAACCTGAAGTTTATTCATCCGCGCTCAGGCTAGCCTGGCTGGTGTCCAACATGAAACCCCTCAAAGTTTAGTATGTGAGGCTTTGCAGCCTTTCTTTGGGGACTTTAGGGTCTAGGGCTTTAAAGCTTTCAGGGTTGCTTTAGGGTTTAGGGTTTAGGGTTTAGGTTTAAAGCTTTCAGGGTTGCAAGTGCTGGGGTTTAGGGTATATAGGATTTCAGGTTCAGCGGCGCTCTGCGCAAGATCCTGACCCCAGCAACCCCTCAGCAGACCGCAACCCTGGAAGCCACCAAAAGCACCAAATCTATGGCCAGAAACCCCCAAACCCTAAAGCCTAATATAACCTCCCAAACGCCTTAATGTTAGGGTTTAGGGTTTAGGGTTTAGGGGTTTAGGGTTTAGGGTTTAGGGTAAACCCAGACTCTCAAGAAGTCCCCTTTAAAATGAACTTTGAAAGCCTTACAGGAAACCGAACTACAAGAACCAGAAGGAACCCCTAAGCCCAGAGTGCATCTGGATGACATAGATCCCTTAGAGGAACCCGTAAAGGAAGACCCAAACAAGTGCAAGTGCCTTACCCTAAACCCTAAACGCTATGATGTAGTGGCCTTAGTAATTCGAATAGGGCTTTGGGGGTTCCTTATTATAATTATAGTGTAATATACCCAAACCCTATTCTAATTACTAAGGCCATTATATTAAGCCCAAAGAAGCCAAAAGCCAAACACGCGGAGCCTGGTGGAAGCCTTTCTGACGGGCGATCCTTGGACTGGCTGCTGTCTCGGCTTCATCCCATGGTCTTTCAGGGTTTAGGGCCTAGGGTTTACGGTTTAGCCCTAAACCCTAAACCCTAAACACCTAACCCCTAGACCCTAAACACCCACCTCTAAGCCCTAACACCCTAATCCCTAGAAAACCTAGAACCCTAAACCCTAAAACCCTAAAGTTCATGTTCAGAGTTAGCAAATAACCCAACAGCCCCCATATCCTTGAGCCCTGACGAAGACCCGGGTTTCGGGTTTGGGGCCCCGGAACTAACCTCTAATATGGCCAACCCTCTAGTTGCTAATTGGGTTAAGGGTTTAAAGGTTCAGGGTTTAGGGTTTAGAGTTGCTCAGGACCTCTAAAGACCCGAAGGGCTGTAGCAAACGGCTGGTGCCCGGCTGGTGAGGTTTAGGATGTAGGGGTCGGCGCTTGGAAATTTCATCCCATCCCACATTGCGCCGGGATCACCCCCCCCCCCCCCCCAATCCAGGCTCCATACTTAACAATCAATGAAACCTATGCTGCTATATAGTCATACAGTATCAGAAGAAGACCAAAAGCACGCCGCAGATTTTGTTGAGAATCGTTGGGGTGTTCCGGGGTTTCCGGTGCACCTACACATCCGGCCCACCCCAATAGTTATGGAATCCTTAAGGGAGGGGGTTCCTACCGAAGGGGGGTATCTAACCCAGTAATCCCCCATTCTCCCTAGTACTCCCTTAGGTTCCCCCCTTGAGCCACCCTCCCCTAAGGATCCTGTAAAATAGTCTCTATTCTAGGGGCCGTGGTTGGTGTTGGGATGCAGGGCCTGATGGGTGTTCGGTTTACGGTTTAGGGTTTTATGCTAAACCCTAGGCCCTAAACCCTAAACTCTAAACCCAAACCCTAAACCCTAAACCGCAAACCCAAACCCTAAACCCTAAACCCGAAACCCAGACCCTAAACCCTTTTGACAACCCTAAACCCGAAACCCTATAACATAGGGTTTAGGGATTTAGGTGGGGATGTCGGGTCTGAGAGTTTGCGGAGGTTTGGGCTTTGAGTGAGATAGGGTTCAGGGCTTTGGGGCTTCGTGGGTAGGGTTTAGGGTTTATGGGTTAAGGGTTTAGGGTTTAGGGTTTGGGTAGGGGCCTGATTTAGGACTCAGTGCCCGTGTGTTGCAGACTTCCTCCTTGCACAACATATTCCGAAGCCGCTCTGACCTCGAAGCTTTTGACTTCTACTCCGCTCATAGATGAAAAGCTTCCGCAAGACTTTCCGAAACCACCAACTACATGTAGTTGAAGCAATAGCTGAACCTAGAACGGCTTCGGGCTTAGGGTTTAAGGGTGAATGCTTTAAGGCTAAAGCCCCAGGATGTTTTAGTCCAGAAGATCCAAAAGACCTACCCTGCCCAGGCCGCCAATGGTACCACTGCTCAAGTAGACAAGGGTTTAGGGTTCAGTGTTCAGGAGTGAGGGACTTGAACTATAGGAAGGCTCTCATTATCCCGGAATGACTGTCCATAAACACCTCGACAACTCCACGAGGACAGAAGTGAGCGTGAAGAATTTCTACGGTTTAGGGTTTAGGGTTTAGGGTTAGTTTAGGGTTAGGGTTTAGGAGTTTAGGGTTTAGGGTTTAGAAAGGAGGCTACAGGTGGGTGGGTTGTTTAGGGTATATTGGGCTTCTATAAGGCTTCCATAAGGTATATAGACCTTCTATAAGGCTCCTCTATAACGGTAACTACCCAGCTGAAAATGTCTTAGATACCCTAAACCCTAAACCCTAAACCCTAAACCCCAACCCCAAAGCCCCAAAACCCAAACCGAAATGGCTTTAGCGGATTTAGGGCCTCATTGGTCGAGCCACAGGAAAACCGCCAGCAGGCCAATCTTCTTCTTGGCCTCGGGCACGATGTCCTGATTTACGACCAACCCTAAGCCCCAAAATCCTTAAAGTCTAATGTGGGGGGCCCTTAAAAACTAAAAAAGGATTTTGGGGTATACCATACTATAATTATAGTAGGGAGCCCCCAAAATAAGATAGGTAGTTCGAATGATTAAGGCCCCTACAGTAAGCCCTGAACCCGAAAACCCGTGATTCAGGTTTCAGGGTTTCGGGGTTTGGGATGGTTTGGGAGGTTGCATGTGGGAAACCCTAAGGCCGAAATAAGATCCAAACCCGAACGGGAAACCTAAACCCTGATTTGAACACACTTATCCCTTGATCCTCCTAGTAGTCTTCTCCTGCACCCTGAAAACCCTAACCCTAAACCCTAAGCCCGAAACCCATAGGGTTTAGGGTGTGTGTGGCATAGGGTTAAATTAGGGTTTAGGTTTTAGGCTCTAGGGTCCAAGCCCCAAATCGGGCACCTCCGCGGAGAGAAGCTGCTGAAGCCACAGGGTGGCAAAGTCCGCATCATTCGAGGTCAAGGCGTCTTTCATGAAGAACCTGGAGTTTATAAACCCTAAACCCTAAAGCGTAAACCTTAAACCCTAAAGCCTAAACCCTAAACTCTATACCGGGATGGGATCTGGGGTTCGAGTATTGTTTGGCTTTGATTTGTTCAGGATATCTATTTCAGTAGAGTTTGGGGTCTGAGTTTTACAGGTTGTCCTGCTGAGTTCAGGGAATATTGGGAGCAGCACAAGCTTGAGTCAGAAGCTCTGCTAATGACACCTCTAAACATGCCGCTGATCTAGGTGTCTTGCCCTTGTGCTGTGCTGAATTGTCTGTCAATGCTTCTCGCATTGGTTCGAAAACCCTCCACCTAAATCCAAGGTCCGACATGGATTCGCATTAGTTCGCCAAAAATGACTGATGACTGAAGAAATCTAAGTAATCGAGGCACCTTACTAAACCCCTAACCCCTCTCTCCTAAACCCTAAACCCAAAGGCCCTGAACCCCCTAAGCCCTAAACCCCTAAAACTCTAGGCCCTAAACCCTAAATCCTAAACACAAAGGCCCTAAGCTAAGCCCCAAACCCCTAAGCCCGCCTCAACTCTCCGCCCTAAACCCAGAAATCCTAAACCCTAAATCCTAAACCCCGAAGCCCTAAGCCCCGCCTCAAGTCTCCTCTCCTAAACCCTAAACCCTAAACCCAAAGGCCCTGAACTACACATAGGCCCCATAGTAGTTCCTTTCTGTGGCTTATATTTAGGATCCTACTAGGGAATCCCTCAAAGGAACTACCATGGGGCCTATGGGTAAGCCCTAGACCCCTAAGCCCCGCCTCAAGTCCTCCTCGGTGAGAAGAAAAACCCCTAAAACCCTAAAGCCCTAAAACCCTAAACCCTGAGGTTTCCCCTAAACCCTAAACCCTAAACCCAAAGGCCCTGAACCAAGCCCAAACCCCTTTAAAACCCCCGCTGCACCGGACCCTAGGCCCTTACACTCTTAAACTCTAAGCCCCGCCTCAAGTCCTCACAGATAAACCCCTAACCCCTCTCTCCTAAACCCTAAATCCAAAGGCCCTATACCCCCTAAGCCCTAAACCCCTAAGCCCAAAGGCCCTGAACTAAGCCCTAAACCCTAAACCGCCCGCCTCAAGTCCTCTTCCGTGAGGGGGGAGCCCTCAGCACGGGCCCTCTCGGCCCAGGTGCGAGCCTTTAAGCGGCGGTTTCGGGCACAGCGTTTCGGGTTTTGGGGTTTGCAAAGCGCCTCCTTTTTAAAGGAGCCACTATCAGGAAACGGCATAGTCAGGGTTTAGGGATGTAGGGTTTAGTTTAGGGTTTAGGGTACATAGGGTTTGGGGCTTAAAGGTTCAGGTTTTGGGTATAGACTTTAGGGTCTAGGGTTCTGGGTTTCGGGTTTTTTCGGGTGGGGTTTGGGCTAGGGTTTAGGTTTCCGGTTCTGCGGCTTGGTGTTTAGGACGTAGAGTTGGGCCGAAGACAGGGCCCTAATTTTCGACCTTTCCTCATAGGGTTTACGGTTCAGGGGGTTCGGTTTGCTATGGGGATTTAGGGAATAGGGGCCTTAATGATTTGAACCGGTTTTGGGATCTTAAACTAAGTCTGTGAAGTTCACTGTAGCATGATTATGGTAAGGAAGCTTACAGGACAAGTTTAAGTTGTTTTTGAGGCTTCTGAGTTATTTTGTTTTTTGGTTTGACAGGTGTTGGGATCCACTACAGGCTTTAGGGCGTGAGGCGTTTCTTGACGTCGTTGAAACCCTAAACCTTAAATCCCTGAACCCGAATCCGGGTGCTGAAAACTTTGCGGCCCAGTGCTCCCGTAAAAATACTCGGCATGTTGAGGAAACCCACGACTGGATGATTAGGGTTTAGGCGTTTAGGGTTTTACATCGATCTCGGAAGCGAGTGGCAAACCTTGCAAGCAACATCCATGGCGCCTTTCGAGAAGCGGTTGGCAATTTTTTCAAAGTCGGAGTATCTAACCCCGATTCCGTCTTCTTTCGAAAAGAAGTGGAGCAAATCTTCGTGGCATTTGTTCACTGCTTTTGTTTCGCTTGGGTAGACGTATCGAAATTGGCTGAACACATCCTTCACCACAAGTGCAACCTTCTGATCTTCAAAGTCGCGATCTTGCATGTCGCCGGTGATGACATGGTCTGCGGTAACGTTGTCCCCTGTATTTGGTGCTGCTGATAGTAGACGAACCCTCCTTTTTGCGAGTTTGGGGGAAGACATGTTTGCTTTTTGGCAGACTTTGCAGTATGGGCGATGGCAGCATTTGTGAATAAAGGTGTCGTAATAGTTAGAATAGGCTTTGGGGGGTATATGGTACTATATGTACTTTACTAAGTCATTAGAAAGCCCAACATGGTATACAGGATATTACTCAGGCCCCTATATTACTTGTCGAACCCGATGCACAACCTCACACCCCGCGGTTGCGGATGATTTAAGGTTGAAGGTGCAGGGGGTAGGTTAGAGCCCAGATTTGAACAGGGCTGAGTGTGTGAGGTTTAGGGGCTTCGGGGGCTAGCTTAGAATGCGGGCTCTAGGTTTGGGTCGCCCTCTATACGGCACACTTCCAGGGTTTAGGGTTTTAGGTTTAAGTTTTAAGGTGAACAAACCCTAAACCCTAAACCCTAAACCCTAAACCCTAGGACTTCGGGTCCCTAAACCCTAAACCGTCCGAAGGAGGCCAAGATAGTCCTGCTGGAGCAGAACTTGGCAACTCGTAAAGCTTCCAAAAGGGCCCGGGTTTAGGGCTTAGGGTTTAGGGTTTTGGTTTAGGGTTTAGGGTTTAGGGTTTAGGGTTTAGGGTTATTTAGGGCCTTAAAAGGTGGGATGAAGGTAGGTGGGATCAAGATCCCTTATATGACGACTCTTATTTTGGGAACTACCTTCATCCTACCCTTTGAGCCAATTGAGATTTTCCCCTTGAACAAGGAGCCAAGTTCCCGTTACACTTTGAAGGGCACTACTTATTGCGGTTTACTCCTCTTAGGGGGGTAGACCTAAGCAGCAAACCAAAAACCCTGCCCAAAGCCAGAAACCTTAAACCCCGAAAGACCTCACCCCTTACTAGGTTTACCCTGAACACAAAAACCCCCAAACCCAAAACCGCACCTCGGGAGAGAGTCAGGACCACATAGTCGAACTTGTGACTTAGGGACGACTAAGACCCGAGTAGCCTTCAGCCCTGATCCCTTCTTGTAGGGTGACGTTTGAGAACCATAATCTTCATAACCTACTGACTAAGTCCCCCGACCCCCACCCTAAACCCTAAACCCTAAACCCTGAACCGAAGTAAATCCTGAACCCCGATCTTGGAAGCCGGCCTCGTCGAGGTCGCGCTTCTCCACCTTGCTGGAGACATAAAAAAGTCTAGGCTTAGGGTTTAGGTTTTAAGGTTT